CTGTGGTAATTGATCTCTCGTCATCTATCCTTCATGATTGCCACAATAAGTCTTCAGAACGCAATGGCAATACCACCTCTGTAAACACCTGTCCTAGAAAGTGGAGGATATAAAAACGTAGAGATCTTCCCACACGTACGCTCTGGGATCGAATATGGCGTTTAACATCATCATCATATCATAGTGCAAACGCATGATGGTTCTCATCACTTTCAACGAGTTGGGTGCCCGTGATTTTGAAACAAGCGAGTAAATCATTCCCTCGGCAGTGTGCTGCTGTTGATGTGCGCCGGGGGAGGGGGGGGTGCGGTGCGGCGCGATTCAATTCGCCCCCGGCATTCCATCGCCTGAGCTTTTAATTAACCGCGGGCGCGTTCGGAACGCGCAGCCTCGCGCGCTCTACCGACGGCGGCGGGAAACTCGTGCCTCCTCTGCGCCCGCTCGCGCTCCCTCATCGCGAGCCCTGTTTGTTGCCACCATCGCTGACACTTTCGCTGCCAATTTTAGCGATTTAAACACTCGTAATTCATGCGCGTTAGCACTGCCTGTGCAGCGGATAAGTTTTTTAAGCGGTCTCTTTGCTGCAGTTTGGCTGTTGTAAGTTACGTTGCATAGCTGTGGCTCACAACTCTTTTCTTTTGTACAAAAATCTCGTAAACATTCTGTTCTTCTCTGTGATTTGGCTCACTATATTTTGCAATCGGTTCTACGAATATTTTAAACCAGTTACTTTATTGTCGAAAAGAGCTCATCAGCGCTTTATGCTATTGAAGAGAAAGGCCGGAGCTCATTATTTTTTATCAAAGTCAAATTACATACATTATACGAAAATAATTGACTGCTTTAGAATATCGTTCGACGTATTTTAAATCTTATTCACTGCACATCATGATGTTATAGTGATGACACTGTTAAAAAGCTGTATTATAAGGTTATTTGCCGGGAGCTTTATTCAGTGAATGCATTAGTTGCAAAAAGCGTTCGGCTTCACTTTAATCTTTGTTGCATGTAATTAACCTTGATGTCTCTTCGATATGTGAATATTAGCTACGGATTAGCTATCGAACGTAATTTTCTAGTCTGTCACACTTTACATATTACATTAAAGAAAACACAAATTATCATAAAAGAACGTACGTTAAAACGAAGCTATAGTTAATGAATATAAACGCTAGCAGTGTGTTCAATTATTAGTGGTCATATCCGTTTACCTTGCTTTTAAGTTATCGGATAACACACCTTTTTAAAGGAGTGTTTAACAGAGAGAGGGAGAAAACTAGTTTACCTTATTAATGCCGTGGTGCGCAATTGGGGATCTCAGACCTTTTTCATTGTTGCATGATATTGTGTACATTAACTTCCGAATTTTATTTCTTCAATAGATGGAAACATATAAGCAACTTTTTTTCATTCCTGAATGCCAGATGCCGATGTCGCTGTGATGGCTAAGGCATTATATACTTCTGGCCAGGGTTTACACATGACTTGCATCGCTTCGAATCTTCATCTAAAACCTTGCTTAGTTGCTGTATGCCTGTGATTAAGTCGGTAGGAGAGACCGGTGTAGAGAAGTTCATCTTGAACAACTCGTGGTGCTATTTTTGTTTCAGCACATGAGTACTAACTCCCTCCTTTTCCAGTAGTATGAGTTAATTATTTCTGATATTCGAATGATACATGGAACGAACTCCCATAACCCCTCGGAATTTTGCACCGGGACAGTGCGTTCGTCCGGCAACTCTTCCCTCGCTGCCCCGCCTCGTCGCCTCGCTGCCGGAATGCGCCGGCGCTCTGTCGGTACGGGTCGCAGGCGTTTTGAACTCATCGCGACCGCGGCTGGCACGCGCGGAATGGCGGAAGCCCGGCCGGACCGGAAGTTTTGGGATCCGCACTTCTCCAGCGCACAAGCAAATGCACTTCCCCTTTGCCTGGTCCTCCTGCGCTATCGCAAGGAACGAAGGCCAAAGAAATTATGAGATGTTGTTACATTCCGACTTAAATGTGGTGCCACTTTAAGGTCACGGGCTGGAAGGAGAGGGTAAACAATCAACCAATAGGTTCCTTCAATACCGAAAATGAAAGTCGAAACGAATCTCCCGATTGAATGACAGTGATCCCCGATGTATTTACTATGTTGCCCAATTTGCACAACTACAAATGAAATTGAAACGAGTTAATGGGCATGGGTTTATATACTCTCTATTAATGGGTAGGCCTCGTTGTAATAGAACACAAACGCATACTACGTGAATACTCATTGGGAAGGTTTTTGTGAAATGATTTTTTAAAAAATTTATTTCTTATCGTTCGACCAAAGTTCTTTCGAGGGGTTTAGTTTTATACGCAGACTAAGGTTTGAAATTGAATCAATTTTCGAATTGATGTGTAAACATCAGATAAGCGTTGAAAGCCCAAATTTAATATTAAGAAAGGTTCTGATGACTACTTCACTTATGTCTGCCTATGTCGTAAGTAACCAATGCTAAGTAAGAATTTATTTTAATTTAACTAATCTGAGATGTCTAATTATCGATTTTACACTTCGCTATAATTACTTTCTTTTCTTTTTTGTTGTTATAGATATCAATTGTTTTACGTCCATAAATTCAAAATGAGTCGTCTTTGGTAGTGTTTGAAACTATCAAATTGAATCTAGAATCACTGCCGATAAAAGACAGAAGAAACCGAGAAATTGTGTGAAAATAATTTAATGAATTTTGTGAAGAAAGACAATGCAAATTGACAGCACAAACTACCAATGAAATTTCAAACATGTTGAAAGATTTAGCTATTAATATGCGAAGATTAAACGGTGAAGAGTAAAAAAATATACACTCAAAACGATGTGGAACTTTACAGCCAAAATTAAACAGGAAAAATACCTTAATGAGTACAATTAACTTATAATAAATTCGTACGAAATTGAGGAATCTCACTGCTAATTCAGCTTCTAAGTCTTTGAGTTCAAATACTTCCATAGTATCCCAAAACATGGAAAATTCAACATCCTACAACTTTAATAATTGAATCGGACTGAGGAGAAGGGCACAAGTCATTTCTTGCCTTGAAGGACACCTTAAATAATACAATGTTATATTATCCTGTCTAATTTTTCTGTGTAAATTGTCTGTGTAAATCCTGTCTCATGATAGTCTAAACCTTTTATGACGTTGTTACTTTCTACGCAGTATAATTTGGCGCGCCTTAAAGAACAACTTTACAATATAAAAAAAATTGTCGTATTTACTTGTTCCCTTTCTCGTCATGCTGATTAAATTGTGTACTTATTAAATGTTCTTGTTATATTTTTTTACTTGAGATATTTTTGATATTTAATTTCATTGCAGTAATGAAATCTTATGCACTATATCAAGCGTTTAATAGGTATCATTGAGGTACAAACAACCCATTTATTTGTGGTGAAATTTGATAGCTTGTATTTTTTTTCAAATTAGCATTTTTAAATTGTTGGATTAAACATATTTTGGTAAAAATATACGAAAACTATAGCGGTTCTGTGAAATCAAATATCCGAATTCTAAACAAAATTATAAAATTTCACTTTTTTGCGCGTAGGATATTATTACAGTAAAAATTATTCTACTTCACTACAAATGTCTTAATTTTCATTTAACACTACTGAGAATTTTAATTTTCATTCTTAATTTGTTTTTCGTCTTTGAATTTTTAAGATAAGCTAGTATTTGAAAGTAATTTGTGTCTAGTATATATTCAAACATACTTCCAAAATCATTGTTACCTGACTCAATATCTTTCTTTTTCCTACTGGACATTCTGCTGTTGGTTTTGTGAGACTTCACAAGGTCATAAATAATTTCGTTAATATAATACAAAAGATTCAATATTGTTTCATGCTTTTTGAAATGTATAAATTGTTACACTTATTACAATTATACTCACAATTTAGAGACCGTTCATAAATTACGTAACGCAAATTTGGAGTATTTTGAGTACCCCCTCTCCCCCCTGTAACACAACTGTACACACCTGCTTGAACCCCCCTCTAAAAATGACGAAACGCTTGCGCCAAGTCCCCCCCCCCTAACTCCAGTAAATGAAATTCAATATGACTTACACTCATCGAGTTGTATTAATTGTATATGTGTTATACATTAAAATTTGTTATAATTAACCCGACAATTAGTTGGCTGCGCGGGCTGTACATATCAGTAACTTTGTGGACAAACTTTTTAATGAAAGAAGGACACGTTGGCCAGAAAATTTCTGACCAAACCGTGCATATGCCGTTGTGGATGACGGTCATAGGCTCCGAGTCCACTGTGCCAACTAATTATTTGAGCAAAAGTTGAAAGATTTTAAAAATAAATATCAGCATCACGTAACACTAAACTATAACCCTCTACCCCTATGTGACGCAGCGTAACGCTTCCTCAAACCCTCTTCCCCCTGTTACGTAATTTATGGACGACCTCTTACGAATATTTACATGATGATTATTTTTGCTCCTGAAGAGGGATATGGAATAGTTGACAGATCAGCATATTGAATGAAATGATAGTGATTCAACATCAAGAAAACATTGAAAGATTATAATAAAACTTTAATTCTATAACTATAAATATACAAGCTATTTGAAAGAAAAATATCAAAAATTGTAGTTGAAGAGTCATCAATAAAAACAGCAATTAATTTAATAAGATGTAAGAAGGTAAGTGATGCAAATGTGGCCAGTGCAGGTAATATGACCTAGTAGCGGTTATGATGCTAGATGAAACTATTTCCTATTTATTGTGCTAGCAGTCTCGGAGAGTGTAAGAAGTGCGATAACACCCTATCAGACGTGTTGATTCGAGCATTTGCACTCTGGAGCTTTTATTGTAAAGAACGCGCTGAAGGCGCACTGTCCTTGTACTTCTTATAAGTTCTTGCGCTATTGTTCAAGAAAAATATTTATTTAAGACCGATTTTTGCAAGATTAGACTGTAAGAATGTAATTTATATTATATATTAATATAGTAAGCCCTAGTTTCATGGACATGCTACAAGGAGAAAGTTAATTTGGCAATGGCCATAAAATATGCATGTGGGCATATTACCTTGAAATTACAATGTTTTTGTAAAATAACAACAAAATATTCCGGAATCACGTTTTTGTTATATAGTTATTTCAGCTCGAAGCAAAAGTGTTAAATTTCATCATGCTGTTAATTTCTCCAAATGTTGAAATATACAAATAGCAAAATTTGAGGCGCTTAACGTGGCCATATTACCTTCATATACCTTAGGTATTTTATCCTCGGCGACCCTGATTTTCGTGCGCCTGGTTTGCTGTAAATGAATGGCAATAGTGTTTTTTCCTCGTGGTCATAGTTTATTTGAAAAACACATCTGTAGGATTGCTTGTTGTGATATTGTTCTGATTATTGTTGGGTGACATTTCTTGTTTGAGGAAATCCCGTTTCTTGTTGTCATTCAGTAAATTTGCACTGGAAGATACGATTTGTTCACTGTAAAGAATTAGATTTGAATAATAATTTCAATTGACTATTACTGAATTCCACGTCTGAGTTTTGATTAACCACTGAATCATCTTGGCTGCCCAGTGGGCAAGCGTTATGCTGATATTTCATTTGAACTCAGCAGAAATCACACTTCAATTTTGAAACATTAGAAAGATCACACATTTTTTGGTCTTTATCAGAATTGTAGGCGAAGAGCCATCAATAAAAAGCAGCACTTAATTTACTCAGATATTATAAACTCAGATATTATAAAAGTTTTTGTTTTATCATCGGCGACACTGTTTCTCGCGCAACCGGTAGATGATGTAAACGAACGGCAGAGCGTCTTTTCCTCGCGAAGGAGATAGGGATGCGACATCGTCATCGAGGTCTCCAAAACATCGATATTTTTATACAATCATCGATTTATTCAACATTCGTTTTTTTGATGCCGATGTTTTCTCGGCAATTATTTAGATTTCACATTTACTTCGTCCATATTTTTGAAATGGGAAAACGCCATCATAACAAAATTCTATAATAATTTTCATGTATTCATTAACTGAAAATTCTTCAGATAAAAGTTACCAAGGGGATAAATAAATAAGGTCGAATTTTCATCAATGAAAAAGCATATAGAATTTTGAAATATCGAGTAAGATAATTCAAGTTTTGTTAACTATTTCGATGATCCTTTGGCTTAGTTTTGTCAGTTAAATCACAATTAAAATTTAATAAACGAAACTCGTTGTAATTACCACACCCCACAGGTGAACTTCACTAGTTACTAACCAGTTGAATATCGTCGACGATTTCGGCTCGATACTTTAATTTTTAGCAGCGATGTCGCATCCCCAGGCGAAAGAGACTTCACTAGTTACTAATCCAGTTGAATATCATCGATGGTTTCGAGTCGACGCATTCATTTTGAGCAGCGGTGTCGCATCCCTAGGCGAAAGAGACTTCGCCGGTGTGCGGTGGAAGCTGCAATGTGAAGGGGTTGGCGCGGGGGTCAGTAGCGCTGCGTGACGACGCAGCAGGCGAGGCGCGCGCCGGCGTTGCCCGTGCGCAGGCTCTCGTCGTCGCCGCCCTGGCCCAGGTCGTCGGCCTTGGCGTGGACCACGAAGGCGCGCCCCACGGCGAAGCCCTCCGCGCCGGGCTCCAGGCTCAGCATGTCGCCCACCACGTCCACGCTCGCCACGCCCGCGCCGTCCGCCTCGATGTTGCCCAGGTCGCCCGCGTGCCGCGACGCGGCCGTCGGCCCGCCGTGCGTTTGCTGCGGCACACACCCTCAGATTACGCAACAAAGACAAACAAAAACACAAACACAATAAACAATCGCGTGGGTTTAACGTTCTTGTATCAAAATGGCGCTCATTTGTGTACATATATTTTGTTGCCCAAAATGTGGGTGAGGTACTATGTTGTAAAAAATGTGGGTAAGGTTGTGTGTCGTAAAAAATGTGGGTAAGTTTGTATGTCGTAAAAAATGTTGGTAAGGTTGTATGAGTATGTCGTAAAAAATGTTGGTAAGGTTGTATGAGTATGTCGTAAAAAATGTCGGTAAGGTTGTATGAGTATGTCGTAAAAAATGTGGGTCAGGTTGTATGAGTATGTCGTAAAAACTGTGGGTCAGGTTGTATGAGTATGTCGTAAAAAATGTGGGTCAGGTTGTATGAGTATGTCGTAAA